GCAAAAATATCCTGATTATGTATAGCTCAAGAACTAATAATTAATAAAGTATAAACAGCATCAAATAAGATTGAGTAAGAGAGAGAGAGAGGGGGGGAGAGAGAGAGAGAGAGAGAGAGAGAGAGAGAGAGAGAGAGAGAGAGAGAGAGAGAGAGAGAGAATGAATGAATGAATGAATTGATCTTTATTAGCCTTCTCGGCTATTTTTTACAACACATAATCTTACAATAATTCCTCTACATGAGGTATAATATATACTTTTAACTTCCGCTTAAATTGTTCGATCCTCTCGCATTGCCTTATATCAAATGGTAGGGCGTTATACATATTTAGACCTTTATAGAATAGACTCTTTTGTCCGCCCCTCGTTCTACGAAACCGCACCACAATATTCTCAGCCTGTCTTGTTTGTCTGTTACTCACATCACCTACTATTTCTATTTTGTTACCTAATTGTCTAGGCATTATTCCTCTTATTATTTTAAAAATAAAAATGCATACATTATATAATAATCTCTGTTTTATATTCATAAAATGGAGTGCTTGCAGCATCAGGTCTACCTTGGTACGTCGATCACATTGAAGTATAACCCTCATAGCTCGATTTTGCGCAACTTGTAGCCTATTCAGTAATGTGTCACCCATACCAATTAATAACGTTGCACAATACTCAAAGTGAGGTGCTATGATAGACTTATATACAGTACATCGAGTGTACGCCGATATATCATTTCCTATTCTGTTCAGAAAACTCACTTTTTTCCCTATTTTCTTTAACATATAATCACAGTGATTCTCCCAACGGAGTTTACTATCGATCATTACACCCAGATGTTTCGTTATCTCGACACGCTCAATTATAGTTCCATTCAAACTTTTTACTATTATGTCTGTTTTTATTTCTTTCCTTATACTTCTAACTATCATATATTTGGTCTTATCTGCATTCATTTTTAACATATTCACATTCATCCATTCTTCAAGTATACCGAGCACCATATTTAGTTTTATTTCTATTTCCTCACAACTTTCTCCTGTTACACTTGCGGTCGTGTCATCTGCAAATAATCTAAATATACTTCCCTCCGGACAGACTTTAACTATATCATTTATATACAAAATAAACAATAGAGGTCCTAATACTGATCCCTGTGGCACGCCATATACTGTCTCAATTATTTTAGAACACATATCATTGAATCTAACTTGCTGCTTTCTATTACTTAAATACGATCTTATCCATTCCAGTACCACACCTCTTATTCCATACTGATATAATTTTTCCACTAATCTTACCCTATCTATTGTCTCAAACGCTCTCCTGAGATCCAGGAATAACACCCCCACCATTTTTTTCTCCTCAATTATCAACTTCCATTCTTCGAAAAAACTTTGAATTGCTGTCTCACACGACTGCTGTTTCCTAAATCCCGATTGGTATTCGGTTATTATTTCATTGTCATCTAGAAAATTTTCCAACTGTTTTTTTACAACTAACTCTAATACTTTTTCATATATCGGTAACATATTAATCGGTCTATACTCGCTCGCTTTTTTTGGTTTGTTTACCTTTGGTATCGGTATTATCGTGGATGTTTTCCATCCTTCTGGAAATTTACCTGTCCTAAGCGAATCATTTATTACTCCTACAAACTCATCTTTTATCACAGGTAGCACCATTTTCAGTATATCACTATTTATCCTTTCCTCTGTTCCGTTCTTTCGTGGTAGTTCCCTAACGATTTGTTCCAAATCACTTGCACTAATTGGCTCAAAATTTTCCATAATTCCCTTATTCTCAATTACAAAAATAGGTCTCCTACCCGTGCCTTCTATCCCCTTATTACTAATAGATTGCACAATGTTGCTAATACTTTTTACATAATATATATTAAATTTATCAGCTATATTGCATTCTTCTATGTTTTCTAATATTTCAAAATCTACATTATCGATGTTCTCTGAACCCCTTTGCTCACCTTTAATTAATTCTTTTAAAGTTTTCCACATTTTTGTAGGATCACTCCTATTATTATCTATCATATTCTCATAATATTCTTTCTTTTTTGCCCTGATAAGTTTAACTACTGCATTTCTTTCATTTTTGTAAAATTCCCAGTCCTGTTCTTTACCTGAGTTTATTGCTCTACTGTGAGCCTCATCCCGTCTATCTGCTGCCATTCTAATTACATCTGAATACCACATTTTCCCTTCCCATATTTTCGGAATCTTAAACTTTTTCTTAGGTGCTACAGTATCCAATACACTTACTATACTATTGACAAATCTCTCCGCCCTTATGCTTATATCTAGCCCTTGACCTTGCTCAGTTCTTTCTTCCATTATTCTAAGAAATTCATCTACATTAAATTTACTATAGTCCCTGCCTCTAAATTCTTTATATTTATTTCTATTTTTATTTATATTAAATTCTACTTTTAGCCATGTATGGTCCGTGATTTTAGGTTTCTCATTCATTTGTACCTTTATTTCTTTATTCGAAAAAATTAAATCTATCATCGTTCGACTATCTTTTGTAACTCTCGTTGGACAATCAACGTATTGCCTCATCCCTAGGTTTTGCATTACCGTTAATAATTTCTTTGTGTAAAATGAATTTACCATCACATCTATATTAAAGTCCCCTATCACTATACAGTCATACTTTATTATTAAATCTTCAACCGTATCTTCCAAAAATCTCACAAATTCGCCATTTGACGCACTCGGCGAATGATACACTACTGCTATCATACCTTTATACAAATTCTCTCTTATTTCTACCACCACGCACCAACAATTTGACACTATCTTTTTCTTATCAACTATTTTAAATTTAATATCATCCCTAACATATAACAGTACTCCTCCTGTGTTTCTATTTTCAGCATCGCATCTAACTACACTATACATTGACCTCACTATCCTCAATTTCTACAGTCAATCTAGTCTCGGATAACGCTAGAATCACAGGATTCACCCTCTTCATAATCTGATGTTGAATTTCGTCCTTATGCGCCAAGAAGCTTTGTGCATTCGTATACCAGAGTAAATCCGCTTCTCCCTGTGGTTGCTATTTTGCATCTTCCCAGCCGGCTCTTTTTTTCTCTTCCTCCAATACTTTCTTAAATGTCGGACATTCCGAATCTAGCGCCTCGTGTTCAACATTTATCTTCAAGTTGTACGTCTGATTCTTATAGGTACAGTTTACACACCTCTTCTTTGCCGTCGTACATTCATTCGCCTTATGATTTCCTGCACATTTATAGCATGTTTCCTGTCTCGTGCAATTCTTGGCAATATGGTAATAGCCCCAGCATTTAAAACATCTTCTAACACTAATATAATTAAATATAGGACACTTTCGCCATCCTAAATTTATTTTTCCTCTGTTTATTAGTGAATTATGAGTGCTTTCATCCACTTCAATTATTACGGATCCTTGCTCAGTATCCTTACTTTTTCCTCTTAATATTTTCTTCACTAGGTGCATACCGGATTCTTCGCCAATTCTGTTCTGCTTCTTGATTGTATCTATCAGTTCATCATCCTCCATTTTCATTTCTTCTCCACCAACATTAATTATTTTAATCTTTGGTTTCCTCTTCTGTGGCTCAGAGACCTTGACCTCCTCGCCCATTGCCGCTTGTACCGTCGCCTTTAGCTTATCCTTCTCTTCTTTCGACTCACATCCTAAGATCACTGTCCCTTTACCTCCCTTTCTTAATTTGGTAATTCCTATTTCCATCTTGGTTATATCAATTTTATCTTTAATTGTTTTCTTCGTAATTTCACTCTCTTGTTGTACTTTTGGTTTTATAATCAAGATATTTTCTTCCTTCCTTTCTTTAATCACATCGCTATATTTTCTTGTCGCTCCACCTGACGATCCATATGCCCCTCGCGTCAACATTTTTCTCAATTCTTCTATTTCCTGTTTAATGCCTCCCACCTCCTCACGGACTATTTCTTTTATCATTGACTTGATCTCCTTTTTACATGCTGCCTCATCTTTTAATTCTTTCACTGTTTTTACAAGCCAATCTATTTTTCTATCAATATCACTCGCGACTGCTACTTTATTCCCGCTGCTTGGCGCCGGACTCATTTTTGCAGGTGCCGTTGCTCTTTCTGCTGCTGCCACTGCTTTATTTATATCAGCTACTTTATCACCATCACTAATAATGAATTTCTCGAATGGGCCAGGACACGACACCAACTCGCGGTTTCTATCATAAATTTTGTGCTTAGATACACAACCTGGATGGTAGAAAAGCTTGGCACAGGACTTGCATGCTATCACCTCCGTTTTTATCGCCTTCTTACATGCCGAGCATCGATACTCGGCGTATTCCTCGTTCATTCTGCTAATATCCGCAGAGACAGTTAATTGACTCGTCACTTTAACACGTCACTTTCACACGTCAGCGTTTTATGTTCGCCGTCGATGTCTACCTGTCGTACGAGGTTTCGATGACCTCTGAACGAAATGCAGTTCTCGTATCTATGTATCAACATATTCCGGCTAGATAACACTCATGGCTACCCCCGGTCTATGCAGATATTCGTTACACAACTTTTTAACACTCTCCCTCACTTCTAAACCACTCAAAAATTAACACTTTTACGGAGCGATGTTTCACACGTCTGCTTCTGCTGAGAGAGAGAGAGAGAGAGAGAGGGGGGGGAGAGGGGGGGAGAAAGAGAGAGAGAGAGAGAGAGAGATTGATTGATTGATTGATAAGTATATTTATGCCCAAGCATAGCTAAAGGGCAAAGATAGCAAAATATAGTAATATACAAAATATAAAAAATAAAAATAAAAATACAGTGACACGCGCAACTTAAATTTAAACGCAACTTAATACTAGAAAAGCACATAATCTACAAGCAAACAAAATAAAAAAACACAATGCAACTAAATCGAACGCAGGTAATACTAGGAGAAGAGAATACTACGAGTACTCTATACACAACTACACGCTAAAATATCAAGGAACTTAGTCTGAGAATTCGGATGACAGCAGGTAGGATCGGAGGAGATTCTTAAAAGCTGCAATAGTAGTTGCTGATGTAATATTGTCCGGGAGAGAGTGCCAAAAATAGATGGCCGATATCAGAAAGGAATTTCTATATATTTCCGTTCGGAAAGCTGGGATATGGAAGGTTTGCGAAGAACAATTTGCAATTCGAGTGGATCTTCTGAGCGATGGGCTAAGTGGGGTAAAAAGTTCACTCAGATATGCTGGCGAGCCCATGTAGATGATACGATACATTTGGCAGCCAAGAAAATACAATCTTCTATTTTCTACGGACAACCACCCTAGGCGTCGTCGATATTGCGTTATATGCTCGTCTTTTCGCAAATTAAAGATAAATCTGATACAGCAGTTTACAAGTCTCTGTAACTTCAGATTAAGTTCCTTGCTCAAGCCATGATAGACAAGGCAGCAGTAGTCCAAGTGGGGTAGTACCAGAGATGTTACCAGCTTGATTCTAAGTTCGGTGGAAAGAGAATTCTTACTGAATTTCAGTTTATACAACGCATGATGAACTCTCTGCGAGACATGCGAGACATGCTTATTCCAAGAGAGATTCGATTCGAAACAAACTCCAAGGTTTCTCACCTCACTTACATATGGCAAAGGCGTGTGGTTAACAATAATAGGTGGTAATGCATTCAAATCAATATTGTTGATATTTATTCCACTGCCAAAAATAATGACTTTGGATTTTGCAGGGTTTAGTTTCAAACCATTGACATTTGCATAGTCGAAGATAGCGTTTGCATCTTTGGAGATTAAGTTAAGGTTGTGGAGGAGATTAGAAAGAGCACATGAACGATAAATTTGAACATCGTCAGCAAATATCATGTAATCGGAATATATCAAGACTGTACCAATGTCATTAATGTAAAGAGTGAACAAAGGTGGACCGAGGACAGAGCCCTGCGGAACACCGCACAGAGTAATAAGCCAAGAAGAAAGGTTACCCTCATCATCAGCGACAGCCTGAGAGCGACCGGTAAGGTATGAGAAAAGCCAGATAAGAGTGGGGTCAGAAAAACCCAATTCTTTGAGTTTAATCAGAAGTCTGAGATGTGGTACTGTGTCAAACGCCTTGCTAAAATCGAAAAGGATCATGATTGTAACAAGTCCAGAGTCAATCGCTTTCTTTATATCGTCACACACACGCAAAAGCGCAGACTGAGTGTTATGATACGGACGAAAAGCTGACTGTCTCGTATTGATAAGATTAAGCTTAGTTAAATAGTCAGCAATCTGTGAGGCAACAATACGTTCAAGTATTTTAGACAACTCAGGCAAGTTTGCAATCGGTCTCGTGTCAGATGGGGATGAGGGAATGCGAGTCTTCGAGAGAGGGCGAATGAGCGCCCTCTTCCACTGAGACGGAAAGGATGACTGTTCTAAGGAGTAATTAAAAAGAGCAGTTAAACAAGACGAAATTACAGGCCACGCCAACCGCAATATGTAGAGAGGAATACCATTCACACCTGCTGCATAGGAATGAAGTGGTCTCGCAGAAATAAGTTGAAAGATCGTGAGAGGCGTAATCGCAGAAAAAGCAAACTCAGGACGTTCGGATGGACAAGTGACACGAGCAATAGCAGAAATAAAGTCCTCATATAAGCAAGGCGAATGAGCATCAGAAACAGAGACGTAGTGTGCATTCAATTGACTAGGTGTGAAATAATGTAGAGGAGATACTGAAGAAGACTTCACAAGACCCAGACGTGCCAACTCTCTCCACAATTTTGCAGGGTCGGTGATTGTTTTAAGAGAGTTAAATTGAAATTCACTTTTGGCACGTTTAATATCCAAATTGAGCTGGTTACAAAATTGTCTGTATAAAAAATAACCAAGTATGCTGTTTGAACGTTTAGCACGCTTGTAAACCTGGTTGCGAATGCGAATTCTGGACTTAAGATCGCTTGTAAGCCACCGCACAGGGGGCTTATTAATGATAAAAACACGCTCTGGTGCAACCACATCAAGAGTATTGAGAACAGTCTCAGACAGTACAGAGCAGAATCTATCAACTAGAGACGCAGACGATTGGTCGCAACGAACATTACCGCAATCAGAGGCAGCACTAACACAAGCCAAAACCTCAGGACTCTCAATTAAGGACTGAAGATGGTCAAGGAATTCATCAGCATCGATAGCTCGATAACAGCGCCTTAACATGGTACGTTCTGCGACTAACTTCGTGCCCAGTGAAAGCGACAGTTCAATTAGATCATGTCCCGCAATGAACGGGCATTCGGATTTGTAAAATCTAAGGACTTTCTCACAATCATCCACCGCTAGGACATCTAGCCATGAGTCAGAGGTAGCCGTATGATAAGTGGCGTCGGATTGAATAATACTCATGGATAGACCAGACATGAGATCACGCAGGAAGTTAGCCTCAAAACTATTTGTCAGTAGGTTACAATTTAGATCGCCACCTATGATGATGTTCTTGTAGAGATGTGAGACATTAGTAAGTGCTTGAGCAAAATCATGAAGGAGAAATCCCTTCGGTCTTCTGTATACTGACGCAAATAAGACAGTTTCATTACATGGCAGTCGAATCTCGATCATAAGAAATTCAGGGGCATTAATATGAGTTGCTGCAGAGGTCGCAATCAGCCTAGCCTTGAGTGAGTGATGGATGTAGCAGGCTACGCCCCCACCCATACGTCCAACCCGATCGTGGCGAATCAAAAAAATAGCCATCTAAGGCCACAAGCTCATCTGAAATACCCCCATGAAGCCAAGTTTCGGAAATTGAGACAATGTGATACGGGTTAGACTCGAAGTGAAGCCTGACAAGCTCAATGTGACCACGAAGGGAGTTAGCATTGAACTGCGCAACTCAAAATTCAGATTCGTTACGACTTGATCGCTTCTGCGAATGTGTCCGGCACGGTCAATCAAGGCGAGTCAGATCTGCACTAGAATCAATGTATATAATAGGCGAACCGTCAGACAGTCTCACGCAGATCCGTCCATGCCTCACCCAAACATACCTAAATGCCCGCTCCCTAGCTAAACGCTTTGTCTGTTGCAGTAACTCATAGCAATCCTTAGAGAGTAGTTCGTTAATGTGAACGACGGTTTTGGAGTCATTTCCGCAGACCTCTCCCTGCCTAAGGACATGCACCCTTAGCTCGCTTTTTTGATATTATTAAATCACGGACAGAGTTGGAGGTCACAGTGATAATGAGCGAGTTCTTAACTACAGAAGCACTAGAAGGAGTAGAAGCAGAGTCAGGGAGAGATCTACGGACAGCTCTTACGTTCAGGATATGAGGCGAAATATCTGGAGCACCGAGCGCTACCAGCACGTTACGAGCAACTGCAGAAGGAGCAACAGAAAGCGGTTCCGGCAACCCAGACACAATAATCTCACTGGCATTGTCATCCTGCCGATCCAAGCGAGTCGTTTTTAGCTCATGCAGTTCCCTCTTAAGGGCCGCGTTCTCGAGTTCCAAGGAGGAAATTCGCTGAGTGTTATTAGCTACGGTCTCGGATAAGCTATTAATCAGATCGAGCTTACTGTTAATTACCTCATTAGTTCGCTGCTGACTCTCAATGAACGCAGAGATCTTTGAGTCAGACAGCTTCATCTGCTCGATCAGACTTAACAAAAGCTCATTCGTCGCAGGCGGTGGGGTCGACTGAGTACGCGAGTCAGCAGAAGAGGCCATATTATCAAACTCAAATACACGCGCAGTGTTATCAGTTGTAGGTGTAAGAGGGGGTATATCCAGTGATGATAATAGAGATATACAGCACGAGTCAGCGTATCTTGACACTGAGTAAGACCTAATGCAACCAGGATGAAACACCCTGCTACACCCGCTGCACTCAATCGACCTATGAGCGATCGACTTTCTACACTTGAAGCACGTAGGCTGCATGTGAATTCAGCTTAAACTAGCCCCGACACAAGAAACACATACAATTTAACATGCATAAGGTTCATACAGATATTTGCAAAGCCAATCCAAGCAACCGAATGAGGCACACGCTGACACTCCGCGTAACAATTTCGCCAAGCCGGCAATAGTTTTGTTCACCGATTGTCGACTGTCAATGTCGATACACAAGATCGATCGCGCACAGGTCCGCCAATCAGATCACAC